GTAGACTCCACTGACACCATGACTGGTCTGTTCAGGGACTGGACAGTAAAGAGTGGCACCAGTTAGAGCTTGTGACTCATCAGTCTGGCCATAGCTACCTCGTGCTTAGCTCCTCCTCCAGAGCAGCTGCTTCTCCCAGAGCCATATCACACCAGCAGCAGACTTTGCTCACCTGACTGCCACTCCCTCATGGGAAGGGACCTGGCAGGTGCAGGCTGAATCAACTGGGGGCAAATTTTACTTTCTCCAGGAAGACACGGGCCAGGGACTGTGAGGGGTGCAACGACCAGAGGCCAGACACCTGGCAGGAGGAACATACTGACCGAACTGGGGAGACTGGGTCAAGGTCCAAATGAGCTTGAAGGAGGAAGAGAATGCTATAGGCTGCTGGTGGAGGGAAGCCTGCAGGTAGAGGAGGCACCTGGACTGTGCCTACAGGGAGTGTTAGGGCTATCTCTGTGCACAGTGAATAAAGAAGGGGCCTGTTGGGCATGAGCGGAGGCTCAAGAAAAGGAAAAGGGGCAGAACTCTGTAGATCACGTTGGACACCAGGAGCAGACCTCATTCAGCTGGAGCATGGATGGCTCCAGGAAGGGAGAAGAGGGAGAGAAGATTGGGGGTGCAGAAGAAAGGACCACCTGTCCCCCAAGGGCTTCCAGTTCAGCGGGGAGACAGGACCGGCAGCCATGAGCATGCAGAATCAAACAAGCAGGCTCTGTCAAGGGCTTCACAAGGGTGGCAGACAGATCTTCTGAGAAGGGCCTCGAAACCAAATTATTCTTGATTGTTTTTTAATACAAAGTAAATGGAAGATGTTCCCCCTAAACAAATCAAGATGGCGGTGGGGCAACACCATGAAAAGTAGGTATCTACCAGGGTGCCTGGGTGGCGCAGTGGGTTAAGCGTCTCACTCACAGTTTCGCCTCAGGTCGTGATGTCAGGGTCGTGAGACTGAGCCCCGAGTCAGGCTGCGCGCTCAGCACGGAGTCTACTGGAGTTTCTCTCGCCCCCTCCCTCTGCCTCTCCCCCCACCCCATGCTCACTCTTGCTCTCTCTCTCTCTCTCTCTCTCAAATAAATAAATCTTAAAAATAAAATAGGGGCTGGCAGAAGTCACAAGGGGGCCGCTGCAGGGCCTGGGGAACAGGGTGGGAGAGCAGACTTGCCACTCCAGTCCACAGTGACTGATATCGGCCCCGAAAAGGAAGTTTTCTGACCAACTCGCGCAGCAACACCACTGCCCCAGGCTGCTTCCACGCTAAGCAGACCCAGGGGACAGTGGTACAGGCTTCACCGGGGGCTGCGGCTCCTAGTCAACCTAGGGCTAACGGAGGCCAGGAGATGCTGAAGCCCCCCATCTAACCAAGGCCCAGGTAGGCCCCCTTGTGGGCCACCCTCAGGGACAGAAGGACAGTGCCCAGACGCATCGTCCCTCCTGGCTGGCCGCTGGGTTCTGCAGGAACTGCCGGGAACCTCTCCTCTGTCGGGGCTCCTGCACCACCCGTACTCTCCTTGTCTGAGTGGACCCGTCTCACTGGTAACTGTAATCTGCTCCCCGGGTGGGCTCCTGTGTCACAGGTAGGACACAAGCGTGAAAGAGACAACTACCTGGCCATCAATCTAAGCTCTGCTACTTACAGGCTGCACGATCTTGGACAAGCCTCAGTTTCTTCACCCATACAGTGGGAATAACAACTGCGTCCCACCTCATAGAGTAGAGATGAGGACGAAACCCCTTACGGAAGCTGGAGGGTCGTGGAAGCCCCATGCAATACACACACAGACGCAGGTACCGTTTCTGCATTCCAGACGAGAGAAACTCAAGACTGCTGCAAGTGCCCCTTCTCTCAAGTGCCTCCGTTGGTGCTTAGGGCCCTGCCTGGGAATCAGAAAGCATCTTCTGGTCTAATCCACGTCCTCCCGACTTCAGAGGAAGGCCTAGTCCTTGTGAGTGATGCCTCAGAAGGACACGGGTCCTTCTGCCATGAAGGGGAAAGTGGGTGAGTTGCGTGTATTTTTATGTCTTTTGGGCCCCGAGCCTGCTCCTGGCTCCCTTAACAAACAGGAGCTCCACGCTGGAGACACCCATCCACGTGCCCCACTGAGCCTCTGGGCCTGGCCTGCTCAGGCTCCCCCATGACACATGGCCCCATCCTCCCTCCTCCAGCCAGGTGTGCCCAGAAAACCCTCTGCCCCACTGGATGGTACCAAGGTGGAGCCATGAAGCAGAACCCAGCACAAAATGGTAAAGGAGCCGTGGTGTAATGGCTTGGCCCAGCAGGCTCCTGGAGGCAGCCGCCTGGAGATGGACAGAGCCTGAAGCTGCGAGGCTGCCTCCGGTGGAGCATTCTAGTTCAAACATAAGCCGACTGCTGTCCTTGGTTAAGTCGCTCCACTTCCATCAGCCTCGGCTTCCACGTCTGTAACAGGAGAGATTGGCCTAGACTGCTTCTATGAGCGCCCTCAGTCCAGGATTCTGAGCAGCCTTCCCAGGGGGTATCTACGAGTTCTGGCTGCCCAGGTTCAAATCCCAGCTCTGCCATTTCCAGTGAAATCCATGAGTCCCTTCACCTCGTCAACCGTAACTCCTTGTCTGTAACAAGGGAATGAAAAGAACACCTACTCAGGGTTACTGGCTGGATTCAGTGAGGACAGGGCGTACCTGGCATGGAGTGAGGGATTATTCGTAACTATTATTATTCTGTGAATTCTGCGGCCTCCTGCCACCACCATCCTCTCGATGGACTGAATGTTTGCATCTCCCCCCCAAGCTCACACGTCATACGAAGCCCTAACCCCCAATGTGACGGTGTCTGGAGGTAGTGCCTTCCGGAGGTAATCAGGGTTAGATGAGGTCATGAGGGTGAAGGGATTAGTGGCTTTATAAGAAGAGGACAGAGAGAGATGGAGGAAGGGCCATGTGAGGGCACAGCGAGAAGGTGGCCATGTGCAGCCCACGCAGAGAGCCCTCCCTGAACCTGCTGGGACCTTGATCTTGGACTTCCCAGCCTCTAGAACTCTGAGAAATAAATCTCCGCTCTTGCAGCCAGCCCATCTGTGGTATTTTGTTATGGCAGCCCAGCAGATTAAGACAACCCCACGACCCGCCATCCCCACCCCCTACTCTCTGCATGGGAAGACCCACTAGGTCCCCCCAAACCCAGGAAAATCAACATCATGCACACCCTGGAGGCCACATGCACGATGGCAAGCACACACAGGGTCAGGTAAAACTCAGCATGCCAAGCGGCAGGGCGCAGTCACTGCAACAGGACAGGGAGGACAAGCATAGAGGAGGCAGGCAAGTGGGGGGCCACGAGCAGTCAGTGAGAGGCGGGGAGCTAGCACAGGCCATGACCAAGCAGCCCACACCGGTGGCTCTTGGCTCCTTACCTCCCCTGCAGGACCTCTGACCACCAGGACTGTGTTCCCCCAAGAAGCTGGAGGCGTGCTGGAAAGAGTAGAGAGCAGGAAACAGGGAGCAGTAGGTAGAACCAAGTCTACAGGAAAAAGTGCTGGAAAGGGCCCCACAGAAGGGTGTTAGGTTTGGGGAGTCCATGGCAGAGTGGTTTTTCAAGAGGCCCAAAAGACCCAAATGCTAAATGAAGCACAGCCCCATGACTGGCCTATGCTGGGGCACAGAAAAAGGGATGAGAGAGCAAAGGGAGAAGAACCCACATACTGGATCATCCCACATGGCCACCTGCCCTCCCACATGCTGGTGCTGCGTCTGTCCAGGGTGACAATCTCGGCAGACTTCCTGGGATGATGTGAACAGTCTCTCCAAAGGGAATGGGACCCAGGGGTGGACACACAGCCCTCAAGCAAGAGCCAGGGTCAAAGGAGGCCGTGCCCTGCACAGATGTCAGTCAATCCCCTGGGATCCTAAGGAGACAGAGGGGAGGTTCCAATCCTGGTTCCACCCCAAATCTCTGGGCAACTCTGGACAAGGTATGTATCCTCTCTAGGCCTCAGTTTCCCCACGTGTAAGATGGAGAGAATGTCCCTACCTGTAACAGAGAAGGTGACAAACACTCTACCATCTCAGACACCCAATCCCCCTATGGCCGTAAGCATGTCTAGACTTTTCTCTGGGGACTGGGTGGTGCTGAAATAAGGAAATGACCAAACATCTAAGACTCCTGATAACAATCTGGGCAGAGGGGCTCCTGGGACACCTTACTGCCACCAAGGGCCAGCCCTTAGGGCATCGGTCTGGGGAAGGAGGAGCCTGAAGCACAAGGTCTGGGGTCAGGGTTTTACTAACATGTAACCCCTTCGGGGTCAGTTCAATGGCACTAAATAGTGTCCCAAGTGAGCCACCACCCACAGCCCCGTTATGAAATTTCTGCATCACCGACCCTGTGTGCCTCGGGCCTCACCAGAACACCCCTCACTCTGGGAACTGGTTCTGACCTGCCCATCCCTGGAAGCCACCCACAGGTGCCCACGAATACCTGAGGAGGGACAGGCTGCTCTACACCATCAAGCACCCGACAGGCAGCCAATGTCAGTCACCGGCACCAGCCTGGACAATGGGATGGCCCACTGTTTAAGTCTTTCTCAACCTTGTGACCCAGCCTCTTGGTTGTGGTAACCCTGTGAGGGCAGGTATTACAACTCTGTTTCACACATAAGGCAACTGAGGCCAGGAAAGGCAAAGCAGTAACTTGCCCAAGGATGTGCAGTTGGGTGACTGGTTCTTGACAGAGCCAAGGTGAGAACCTGAGTCCTCTGTCATCTGGCCTGGTGGCTGCCGTCGGCCGGCGTGCACTGGCGTGCCTGGTCGCTGCTGGGTCCACCCGGTGGGCCAGCACCCGAGTGCTACTAGGGGTTACGGATCCTGGACACCAGCCCTGCAGGCCAACTGCCAACATGGCGTCTACGCCCCTACGGCTGCTACCTGCTCCTGGCACAGGGGGTCAGAGTGCCAGGAGCTCAACGTGGTGGTGGGGAGCCAGGGCTGGCGCTCTCCAGGGCCCCAGCCGGGCCCACTCCTACCTTTGATGACAAAGGCCTCTGCCAGCAGCCGCATCTGATACAGTGGCTTGTTGTCCATGGACATGTCATCAATCCCGGCCCGCGCATACATGCTGATGGCATCTCGGTACGAGCCCTCCACGTAGTGCAGCTTGCCCTGGATCAGCATGGCCTCACACAGGTACTGTGGCTGTAAGGACAACACACCCATTAGCAGGCTCCTGCCTGGAAGCCCCTGCCCCACCCCCACCCCATAACCTGGGAGGAACACCTGCCTCCTCCCATGGAGCCATGCCGACTTGCCAGAGCCCCTCCTCCGGGAAGCCCTCCCTGGCCCTCAAGCACGTGTGACATCTCCCTGCTCTCCACACCTGCAGTCTGTGGCCTACACTACGGCTCTCACTGAACTTCTTAACGTGCGTGCCTAATCGGTGTGTGTGTGTGTGTGTGTGTGTGTGTGTCTTATGTCCCCAACCAGACTCCAGGCAGCTTGCAGACTGGGCTCGGTGTTCTCTCTCCTGAAGCCCCAGAGGCGTCAGCCCCAGTCTGTGCTCAGGAACTCAGGCATTGGTTCTCAGCACGAGTCGGGGGTCAGGGACCCAGCCAAACGTTGTGGGGCCTGAAGCTCACATAACTGGGGGTTTCTCTTTACGTGCATAGCTGTACAAATATACAGTGAGGTGAAAGGCCGTGGAAAGAGTCCATGCAGTAAGGGGCCAGCAGCTGAAGCCCCAGCCGCAATAGCAGGACCTGTGTGGGGAGAATGGCCCCATCAGCAGAGGGACAGGATGGCAGGACAGCCAAGGCCTGCTGGGCCACTGTCCTCATCTCAAGTGCAGAATTAAGTGCCTGAATTCAAACCTGTTTTCTTCCCTCTCTTTCTCCACTGCCGCTTATGCCCCAATCTTCACCCCATACAAAGACTCTTGGGGCCTCCCTTGGGCCCCAGGAAGTCTGGTTGGCCCTGTCCCAAAGTCCTGCCCCTGGACATGCATCCAGCCTTGCTCCAAGATCTCCCACTTGCCGTGACCACTTCTCTAGCCCTCTGCCTCTATCTCTGTGCTCAGCTGGCCCATCGCCCCTTTGGGCTGGGCTCTGGGCAGGGCCCCCATCACCCACCAGCAGTTCTGTCCACAAAGCTTCTTGGAGATGCAGGCTGGCCCCCAACCCAAGCCTCTGTCACCAGTAGGAAGGTGCCACCCCTTTTTCCCTCTGGGGAGATTGGAGTTTGGGGGACCTATAGTCCCAGGGAAAGCCTCCACTACTCCCAACTACCTACTGCCCTCTCAGAAGCCAACCAAGAGATATGGAACACACCAAAGCCAAATTCTCCTTTGCACTGGTGTTTTAGTCATTGTAAATACACATTTTTCCCTTGCCTTTGCTCACATAGCTCCCTGTCTGGAACAGTCTCCCCCTTCCCCTAGGTCTAACCAGATCCTCTTCCATCCTTTGGGAGCTTGCTCAGGCCCACCACTTCCTAGAAGCCTCCCTGAGTCCCAGGGGATTCCTTCTGCTGCTGAACTCCTATAATGCATCTGCCAAGTGGACCCACTCAGCCTCTGTAGGCCTGACCTGCTCCGACTATTGGTTAACTCTCCAAGGCTGAATTTTTCAAGTGCATTTGCTAGTGTCCCCAAATAGACCACCTACTCCCTCCACCAGGGCCACAAATTATGCATTCCCAGAACCTTGTGGCCCATGGTCTTCCGTAGCTGGGCAAAGATTCTGCTGTTCCCCATATTGGTTTCAAGCCACAGGCCCATTTTCTCACTGCTCAGGCTCATTTTCACCATTGGTGAGGGCGAGACAGTGATACCCACCCCTCACCTCCCATCACAGCAATGCCAAGAGCATCAGAGTAATGCAAGTCCAGAAAAGAGCTTTGAACTTTTCTTTAGAAAGGAGTTAGATAAATACAGGGCATGAGTCATTGACATTATTATCCTGCCCCACTGTAAATGTGGAGAAGGGCAGCTGAGCTCAGAAGGACACACTTCAGGGTGTGATGACAGGGTGTAGCTCGTGGTGGTTCCTGCTGGACCAATGGCAGCTCACAACAGAGCTTCCACCAAGCTGGGGAAAAATTAAGGACAATGTGAGTGCCTCATATGCTAAATTTACACTACTTAAAGAGCTTCCCTGAATGGGTCCACTTGGCAGACGCATTATAGGAGTTCAGCAGCAGCAGAAGTCCCCTGGTACTCAGGGAGGCTTCTAGGAAGCTTGGGACCCATTAATCAAGTCCAGCCCTTTTGATTGGCAGATGAGGAACTGGAGGGCCCAAGAGGTCAGGGGACATGCTCCAGGTCAAACAGCTAGTTTATTTAATGCACCTTGCGCACCTCTCCCCCCATCTCATCAGAGCTACTCAGGATACTCAGCACTCCAGCTGGGGCTTCATCTGCTGCCAGGAAACACCGTCCCCCAGGCACACCCTGGCCTTCAGGCTAAAACAGAGAATCGCACAAACTACTTTTAATATTTTATTGTGCCTAATCAACATCAAGTTTTTGGCTTTGGCCTGGATAACCGTGACTATCTGAGTGCTATTGGTGCCTGTGTATGTCTTTGATTAATAAAGCACGGTAAAATTTGTTCTCCAGAAATGTGATTTGGCATACAAATGATTTTCCTGATAGTACATGTGGATGCTATTCAGCCAATCCAAAGAATGAAGTATTGGCATGGGGAAAGCTCCAAGTGAAAGTTCTTGTCAAATATGGATCCTATGACTCTAGTAAGAAAAGAAAGCCCAGTATGTGTGTATGTGTGTTCGTTAATGCACAGAGAAAGGCGCATAGGACACACACCAAATGGTGACCAGCGCTGAACTCTGGGGATGGGGTTGGGCATGGGGGTGGCAAACAAGAACTTTTATTTATTAGTCAAACTGCTCGTTTATTTAATGACTTGTTAACAATAAGCCTGAGTCATCTTACTGTAAAAGCAATTTTTAAATAGTTAATGGAGTCTGGAAAAGAAACAAAGTTAAAAGGGGTTTTGTAGGGGGAGGGGAAGCTTGGGACCCATTAATCAAGTCCAGCCCTTTTGACTGGCAGATGAGGAACTGGATGGCCCAAGAGGTCAGGGGACATGCTCCAGGTCAAACAGCTAGTTTATTTAATGCAATACAAAACCTCCCAGAGCTACAATAATCCCTGCTGAGGAGTCTGAAGGCAATATCCTTAAACTCCCAGTACACTTCCCCCACAGAAAAAGCCCCACACTTCTTGGCCTGGTATTTCAGTCCCCGCTCACTGGCCCCAAAGTACCTCTATAACCTAATTTCTCACCATTCCTTTCATTCCTGCTGATTGACGTACTTTAATGAAAATCTTATAAGAGGAATCATTAAATGATATATTGCTTCCTTCTTGGAATGCCCTATCCTATCTCTGTATGTTAATACCCTCCCCCCACCTTCAAGGTCTAGCCACCCCACCCCCCGCAAAGAGTCCAATTCTAGTACTACCATCACCCTGGGTTGACTCCCCACCTCACCCCAGGCAGTATCCCCCTTGAACTTGCCTCTTCATGTACAATACTCCTGTGGTATGTGTCATAGTCCACCTAGGACAATTTGCCAGGAGGACTTATTTTCCCAGTAAACCTGCAACCTCCCTGAGGGCAGGGTCCATGCTGGATTCATTTTTAGTGTCCTCGGAGTATAATGCCTTGTGTACTCTGTCACCATAAATGGTTTTTTTTTTTTTTTAAAGATTTTATTTAGTTACTTGTCAGAGAGACAGAGAGAGAGAGAGCACAAGCAGGGGGAGCAGCAGGCAGAGGGAGAGGGAGAAGCAGACTTCCCGCTGAGCAAGGAGCCCGATGTGGAACTCGATCCCAGGGCCCTGGGATCAGGACCTGAGCCAAAGGAAGATGCTTAACTGACTGAGCCACCCAGGCGTCCCACCATAAATGTTTAAGTCAGTAAATACATTACTTTGGAACATCTTTTGAAAAATCATGTCCTCTCTGGGTCTCTAATGACATACCCAGACCTCTATTATAGCTCAGGATACACTGTAATCCAGATCCATCTCAAACTTGAATATACACAGGAAATCACCGGGAGAGCTTGTTAACATGAAGATTCTGATCCAGATTTTGCATTCCCTTGATGACACCCATACTGCAGGTGGGTGGACCATGCCTGAAGCAGCAAAGGTCTGGAGAGAGCTGACTATATTTCCCTCCATACCTCCCCTTGGTGCCTTTTATACAGTAGGTGCTCAATAAATGCACATAGACTTAAACTGGCTTGCCCTGTTCTGAGCTCTTCTGTCGCTAGCCAACTTCATGTTTCCCTGTTTCCAACCGGATCATGGGCTCACTGAGGTCTTATTGCCCTGGGACCCCCAAAGAGCCCAAAGGACCAGGCGCATACTAGGTCAACCAAATGCTGTCTAATAGAACTATAACTTAAACCACATGTATAATTTAAATTTTTCTAGTCACATTAAAAAAGGCAAAAATAGGGCGCCTGGGTGGCTCAGTCAGTTAAGCAACTGCCTTTGGCTCAGGTCATGATACTGGAGTCCTGGGATCAAGCCCCACGTTGGGCTCCCTGCTCAGCGGGGAGTCTGCTTCTCCCTCTCCCTCTGCCCCTCCCCCCTGATTGTGCTCTCTCTCTCTCTCACTCTCTCTCAAATAAATAAAATCTTTAAAAGAATTTTTTTTTTAAAGATTTTATTTATTTATCTGACAGAGAGACAGCGAGAGAGGGAACACAAGCAGGGGGAGTGGGAGAGGGAGAAGCAGGCTTCCTGCTGAGCAGGGAGCCCGATATGGGGCTCAATCCCAGGACCCTGGGATCATGACCTGAGCCGAAGGCAGACGCTTAATGACTGAGCCACCCAGGCACCCCAATAAAAGAAATATTTTTAAAAAATAAAATAAAAAGGCAAAAATAGCTGAAATTAATGTTAATAAGATATATTATTTAACCTAGTCTATCCAAAATATTATCATCTGAACACATAATCAATATAAAGAATTAATCATCTTTAACATTCTTCATTTCGTGCTACGTCTTCGGATTCCAACGTATGTTTTACACTTACAGCACATCTCAGGTTCGACTGGCCCCATTTCAAGGGCTCGAGAACCACATGCGGCTGGTGGCCACTGTCCTAAACAGTGCAAAGCCAACCTCTAAGGGAGCCTTGCTGCTCAGATGACCAGATGACTCAGGGACTCTGCTTGACAGCAGATGGGAGGCAGGAGAGAGAGGAGCAGAGGGGGCTGACCACTTACAGACAGCCTCCCGTGGTTAAGGATACTACTCAGATGGTTTCTGGCTTCATTCATCTTCGGCTCATTCTTCTCAGGCAAAGGGATGGAGTCTTTTATCTTGGCGTGGTTCTCCTTCAAACACTGCTCCAGGAGGGCCTCGGCCAGGAGCAACTTCCCAAAGTCATCTGAAAAACAGGGCAGGGATCCCCTGAACACGGTAGATCCCCTGAAACTAGCCCACATCCCTGAAGCCACCCAGCCACCCCTGCCCCAGCACACGAGCAGCCCAAGTCGGAGAAAGAAATAAAGACCCAGTTTTCATAAAGTTAAACAGCCCTGAGAGAAAAAAAAACACAGGCATTCTATCATGCTTACAGTACAAATTGCCCCTTTGGGTTTATTTTCTACAGTTTAGTGGCTGGAGAGGCAAAGTTCCCAGACTTGGGACAAATTCCCAGAATTTCAGAATTTAAAATGAGGGACAAAGTCACACCCAGGCCCCATTGTGGGTAATAAGTTCTTAGACCAAGAAGGAATTCCGCCCCCAAAACAACCCAAGAGGAAAAATATAGGAGATGGCTTAATGCCTTTTCGTGAGCTCCTAATTTCCGTGTAACCATAGTTGGTTTTCTCCATTTTTACGATATTTTAACATAACCAGGGCTAACTTAGCAACGTAGGAGAAGCAGATGTAGTGGTGTAGCAGGGCAAAGCCTTGGACATGCCTAGTCCTGGCACTCTCTGGAGTTCTCACACATATGTCAGCCCATCTCCAGACCTCACCGCTTGGAAGGGGAGTTTGTACTGTTTGGTTCTATTTGCCACCTCCCCACCCCTCCCCACACAGCACCAAAAACTCCAGGCTTGGGACCACCACATTCCTGCTACTTACAGCAGAGGTGACAGGGGAATGGGTGGGATCCCCAGGGCTTTGAGGTCGAGCGTGGTTTCACAACCACACCTGGGTGGCTGTGCTCAGTGTGACTGGTTCGCTGCCCCTCCCCTGCAACCAGGGTGAGGACCAGGCCCACCACTCAACAGAAGTGCCCAACAAATAGCTGCCAAGTGAACTGGATCCTCTTCACGCCTGGGTGAGGAAGCCAAGAGGCTCAGGGAGTCACGTGCCAACCCAAAATGCCTCCGGGAAGGTCTGCTTGGTCCCCAGCCTTCACAGAGCTCTTTCTACTTGCCAGGATGGCATTCTTAGACCCACCCAGGAATGCCACTCACTCCTTGCTCTCAGGACCACTGCAGTTTGCTCACAACTCAAAGCCATGGACCCCAAATTGCAGGCCTCTGAAGAGTCTCTCCGCAGAGAGGAGATTCCCCGCAGAGAACAGCCCGAAAGCTCAGATCCCAGAGAACAGTCCCTGGAGGTTTTCCCTCTGAGGACACCACAGCCTGTCGGTGATCCTTTGCGGTCTCCCTCATGATTTTGAAAATTAACATTTGGAGGAAATGGCCAAAAAAGTACTTTGTCCAAGCTATCATCCATCACTGGTAGAGCAGAAGTTGGTGGCACCTCTAGAAAGGGCGATTTGATGACGTATATAAAAATTATGTTTGTGCACCCCATCGACTCCGCAATCCCACTGCTACAGAGGTCTTGGCATGTGTGTGTAAGGTCACTCCCGCAGCGTTTTTTATAATAGCAGAAAATTAGAGACAACTTCTGTGTCCATCAACAGGAGGCTGATTAAATAAAGCATAGCACTTCCATAAAAAGGGATAGCGCTGCCACAGAAAGGAACGAGAAGCCCTGTCTGTGCTGTTAAAGAATGAACTCCAAGACAAGTCAGTAAGAAAGCAGAGTGCACACAGTGGACACAAAACGTGTGTTTATGTATAAACACGTGACAGGATACATACATATCCGATGTCCTTTCTGGCTTACGGGGAAGGTGGCAGAGACGGAGGGAGGCTTTTCCCTCTTTACTTTTGGGTCCCTTTGGAAGGCTGACCCATGGGAATATATCATCTAGTCAAAAATAAAATCCAAGTCAACACAAGAATGAAAAGCAATCTTCTCCATTTCCAAATGTCAGCTAGGAGGAGGGCTGGGCTGCTGAGTGCTGGGGGCCTGAGCAGCATTCCCGAGCTGTGGGCCACAGGGCAAGTGGCTCTCCCTCTCCAACCGGGTTTGCACCTGTTCAACCAGAGGTAGAGTCAGGAACCTGCTCCTTCTGAGGGAACTGAGGCCCTCCCTCCATAGTCCCTCCTGGGCTGGTTCCTCGCTCACCTGCAGCTCCCTACTGGGCCCACCCAACTGCTGACTGCAGAGCTCCCCCCAGACGACCTGGCTCTGTTGTTCCTTTCAAGCCCAGAGAAACCAGCTTCCTTCCCAGCAACCCTGAATCTGGAAATATTCTGCAGGGCACACACCTCTCCTCAAAAGAAGGGGCGTGTCCTCTGAACACGAGCTGCTCAAAGTGTGGTCGGTGGACTGTGGTGGGTCTGTGTCTGTCACCCAATTGATAATAATGTGACAAAATAATTTTGAATCCGCTGACTTGAATAATAAAAAAAAAGCTGAGAGGCCGCAGTTTGTGTATCTTACAAAAGTATCAGAGCCCAACAAATTGGGAATTAAAAAAAAGGCCTCTCACAACAAAACATGAAAGTCATCCCTCACCACATATCGCTTGAGAAGCACTGCCCGGACCCCTTTTACTGCAAAAGAGGGGTCAATATTTGCTGAGGGCCTACTGAGCGCCAAGTACTTTATTATACAGTATTCTTTAATCTGCACAGCCCTAAAAGGTAGATATTACTCCCATTTTATAGACGGTAATAAAGATATGCAATATTGCTATGGTCCCAGCCCACAACAACAAAATACCACATTCCACGACATAGCCACCAGACAGGCTGTCTCCCCTGCATCCCATGCAGAGCAGAGCTTCTGGTAGTTTAGAAATAAGGAAGTCAGGGCGCCTGGGTGGCTCAGTTGGTTAAGCGACTGCCTTCGGCTCAGGTCATGATCCTGGAGTCCCGGGATCGAGTCCCGCATCGGGCTCCCTGCTTGGCAGCGAGTCTGCTTCTCCCTCTGACCCTCCTCCCTCTCATGCTCTCTGTATCTCATTCTCTCTGTCTCAAATAAATAAATAAAATCTTTAAAAAAAAAAAGAAATAAAGAAGTCTAAGGGCTGTAAACCATACATTCAAGGGTAATAGTAATTCCAAGTAATAGGACTCTCAAATAGGAATTCCAATAGCAATTCCAAGGGCAGGGATAAGAATTGTTCCTACTGTCACATACCTGTGAGTTTCAGACTGTTCTATAAATTAACACTTCCGGTCTTTCTCAAGCCTTTTTGCCCCTTCACCGCCGACCCAGGGTCTGTGTTTGGTCTAGCAGACATTCAGTAGGTGTTGGGAACTGAACTGCCTTTCTTTTCTTCCTTGCCCACATCGCTTCCCTCTCTACTCTGCCTTCCTTCCCCTTCTTCTGGCCATCCCACCATTCCCAACTGGCCAATCTATGGGACCGAAGACTATTTTAGAATTAAAAGTTCTAGATTTCCAGTTGTTCAATAAGAATCCAAATGGATTCGAGGCTTTCTTGTTCTTCCTTCTCTGAAGGTAAAACATGGCTTTTTATCATCTTGTCTGAAACCTACTCCCTATCCTGATTTGGGTAAAGTGTTCCAGCTTCTCCCCTCCCAGGAGGCATTAGGAAGACTTTCCTGACAGTGAAACAGATTCTGGAAGCCTGAGCACGGATTCGTGCAGCCCAGCCCAGCCCCCTGCCCTGGGCAGAGGCCCAGAGGAGGCCACCACTGAATGTCCCCTCAGATTCCCGACCCACCTGGTTTTGAAGGCCTCTGGCAGCTAGCTTCCCATCTGCTCTCAGGGTGCCAGGTCACAGGGACCCACTTCAAAGATACCTGCCCCTTCCCCAGAAACCACATTTGCAGGGCGGAGCCCCCTCTCCACAGCCTGCTGATCCGCAGTCAGAAACCTGGGGCCGGCCAGGTACGCCCTTCCCCACAAAGTCAAATGGGGACACAGTGGTCTCTGCAGCTGCTTACCACACAGGACCGCAGAGGGCTGGGAGCTTCTAACCACAGAGAGAGGAGGAAGAGGCCAAAACTAGTGAGAGGCCACCTGCCTCGAATACACCCCCTCTAACTCCAACTGAAGAAATGCTCAGAACAATCTCCAGTTGAGGGAAAAAAAAAATCATTTAGTTAAAAAAAAAAAAAAGATGGGGGTGACTACAGATTAAGAGACTCTAGATGGATGGATAAATAGAGGAGCAGACATGTGATAAAGTAAGTATAGTCTAATTTTGCTGAATGTTTGAAATTTTCATAAAAAAAATACTGGGGGAGAAAAGAGACACCCAAACTACCAGGCAAATGCAATGTGTAGGATTCCCAGTTGTAGCAAATGAACTGTAAAATTAAATCATTAAAACTGGGGGGTGGTGTGTGTGATAATGGCATTATGGTTTTGTTTTTTCAAAAGAGATCTTATTTGGCCAAAAAAGAAAGGATTATACAATGGATTACATAAAAATAGAAAACTGCAAAAAAAAAAAAAAAGAGAGAGAGAGAGAAAGAAATTTCAACCCACTATCTAAACCATCATCCCATCTCACACAAAATCATCTTGTCCATGACATTCTGACTTACTGAAATCCTAATTTCTCTTTAGAATTCCTTTAATGTAACAGATCTCTGATCTTAATTAAGAAAAATGACTTTTTTTTTAAGGATCCCGCACTGGCTCCTGATGGTCACCACTTCTTTATGTATGTGCTTACACACTACTGTAAATAAATCTCTTCGCGGGCGCCCAGGTGGCTCAGTTGGTTAAGCAACTGCCTTCGGCTGAGGTCATGATCCCGGAGTCCTGGGATCGAGTCCCACATCGGGCTCCCGGCTCAGCAGGGAGCCTGCTTCTCCCTCTGACCCTCTCCCCTCTCATGCTGTTTCTCTGTCTCTCTCTCTTTCTCTCAAAAAAAAAAAAAAAAAATCTCTTCGCAACTGAAAGAAAAAAAGAGTTCTTATTAATAAGTACCTACTTCGGTATTCAGTGCGGGGGGCGGGGATAGGTTGGGGTGTAGCTCAAACAAGATCATTTTTGAGTTCATAACCACTGACGCTGGTTAATGGATACATGATATTCATTGTTCTGCTTTTCTGAGGTTTTGGAAATTTTTCATAGTATTCATTTCTTTTTCTTTAGCCACTTGGATGTGTTCTTTGTTTTTACATGAACCAAGTCCATCACAGCCAGCCACACTCTGGGGTTCCCCTGCTCCATCCTGACCAAATCTAAACCGGATGCGTTTGAGAGAAAATGTACAAACAGTGGCAACTATCTTCCCCCTGGGCAGGAGCAGCCTCCCCAGAGAAGAGGGGGGAAGGGCCCTTCTGCCTGAGCATCTCCTGACCCTTCACTCTCACCAGACCCCAAAGAGGACCCCCCAGAGGGTCCTCCCCTCCTGCCCCCTGGACTGAAATAGATGGTCTGGGAGTGGTTTTTAGTTTCTGTAGGAAACCCTGCAGATACAAGCAGGGCTCAGGGCCTCAGTTTGTAAAATGGGGTTCAACTGGGGTTTGGCTCCCCCTCTCAATACGTTCCCTCTCCTCTCCCCACATAGGTAACTGTTGAAGCTTCTAGACACTGACTGTAAGAGTCTAATAGGCCAAGTTGTACAATAAGAATCTCCCTCCTGGGTTGAAGGGGGTCAGTGCTATACAGCTCCAAAAAAACAGGCCCTCAATCCCTCGGGTGATCAAGGAACCCTGAGGAGAGAATCAAAATAGCAGACAATCCAAAAAATGCTCTACGCATAGGTTTGGGAGTCATTTATTTTCCTTCCTCGTGTGCATCTGTGTGTGTGCCTGCGTGTGCGTTGGGATAGTGTATCCAGATTTAACAGTGGGAGAAAAAGCATTTGCAGAACCAAACTCAAAAGTTGGCAGAAGAGACCCCACTGCACCCCTCAGTCTCCCTCCTTGTGCCAGGCAGTCCCCACAGTGAAGCCAAGCCAGGGGCCTCATGCCCCGCCCCCACCTTCCCTAGTAGTAGACTTGGTGGCAGGAACTGAGGCTTTGCCACATACACATTATGTGACCTCTTTGGGCCTTGGTGTCCTGATGTCTAAAATGGAGACAATAACTCCTGCTCTCCCCATAAGGTTGTTTACAAGAATTTAAAAAAAATAGGGAAAGCATTTTATAACCATACCATACCATTTATAAACTGTATCATATCAGCGTTTCCCAATAATGTTTCATAGAATATGGTCAAGGCAAGTTTGAAAAATGTGCTATTTATACTCCAACCTTGGCTTGTACATCATAGGCAAGTGAACATATTAAAGGCTCTGAAGGGGCGCCTGGGTGGCTCAGTCGGTTAAGCGTCTGCCTTCAGTTTGTGTTGTGATCCCAGGGACCTGGGATCAAGCCCCAAATCGGGCTCCCTGCTTGGCGGGGAGTCTGCTTCTCCCTCGCCCCTTCTTCCACTCGTGCTCTCACTCATTCTCTCTCTCTCTCAAATAAATAACTAAAATCTTTAAAAAAAAAAAAAAAACATAAAGGCTCTGAAAAGTCCTACAGTTTAAAAAAAAAGTCTGTTTACCACTATTGAATCTATTAGGTCCAGTTTCTTTACTTTTTGGGCTCCCTAAGTTCTTTCTTCTTGGGATACCAATTAACTTTGTAATCTCCTTGAGACCTCTAAAAAGCAGTTTAGGAAATATAGACCCATATGAATTTGAGGAGGTCAGGTTCCTGTCTTGGCCCAGCATGTTCCTCTGTGGGGCCAACCTTACTCAGATTCCCATAACTCACCCAGGCCCCAGTGCTCTTTGTGTGGGTCCGTTTCCATTCCTACCCTCAGAAGCCCCACCCCACTACATTGCCCCTCACAGGGGACAGAAGGAGCACCTGCAATCTCTCTATTCTGCCCTGGGAGAGGAGGGTTCACCTGCTTCTCCCTTTAGCTCTAGCCACTCCCCCTCACTGCCATGCTCAGACTGATCTCAAAGCCCCAACCTGATTGTCCGCCCGTCTCTGTCACCCTAGCCCCCTCAGTGTCCTTCTATCCTCCCTCCTCATTGGGCAAACACACTCTGCCCTTCCCAATACCAGCCTGAGGCCAGCACATATTCTGCCGCTTCCCCAAAACTCCTTTTCCTCTGAGCTCTCCATCTACCACACGATTGCCCTCTGGTCACCTCTCTGCCCCGCCATCCCTTTAGGCAACTCCTCAGGCTGGGATTTTGTGCTACACATCATTAAGAGGTAACAGTGCGAGTGGTTAAAAGGATATACTCAGAAGCCTGGGTTCAGATCCTGCTTCTACCACTTATTGACTGGATGATCAAGTTATTTAACTTCTCAGGGTCTCTGTTTCCATTACTTGCAAGTGGGGCAAACAAGAGTGCCTGCTTCATGGGGTTGCTGGGAGGAATTAATGAGTTGACTGAAGTGCTTAGTAGGACAATGCCTGGCACACAGTGAGTGCTGGGTAAGTGTTAGCTATGACTATTATTATTATGATGATTCCACAGGCTGGGCAGTCTTTAAACCTCTTCATATCTGCATTCACTGACTCCTTGCCTCCTTCCACAAGGCTCTAAAGGGGTGGTGCACAAAGAGGGCTCAGGGAAGGCTCTCCAGGCTGAGCTGTGGGCACCAGAACAGGATTTGAGGCTGGAGACTGGGGCGGGGTGTTCCCAGACTGCCACATCAGGGTGCTTTCCCGCCCCAGTTATAAGAGCCCAGCCCAGCCAAACCAGCCCTACTGCCAAGGCCACCGAGTGCCAGGGCTAGATGGGTCCCGAGTCCGACCACAGATGAGGAAACTGAGGCTTACCAGGCCTCTTTCCCACTTCACCCCCCCCCCCCCCCCGCAACGCGCGCTCGCCAATGCAACCCTGTCTGCTGTGGACAGAGCACCGTTGTCAACTGGACTCGGGGGCGGGGGGAAGGAGGGGACGGCAAGCAGAGACAAATAGCCTTCACCTGGTGGAGTTGCGGGACCGGGGGCGGGGTGGAGGGATGGCGCAAGAGTCCAGCCCTTGCCCTGGGCTGATTCGTGCCGATACCACCATTTCACAGTAGGACAAGTTGCCCACATGATCCCAAAGGGCAGGGAGCGAGAGCCGTTTCTCTCTCTCTCTCCCCGAAAGCGCCCAAACCTGCATGTGGTTTTTCTCCTGGGGCATAAGAACCTTCCTAATTACCCTGGTTGCTCCTACAACCAGCACTACAGGAAGGGTAATACCGAAGGCGGCCGTCGCCGGCCCCGGGGGCAGTCGGGGCCCGCTTCCTGGAGGAGGAGGCGCGTTTCGCGCGCCGGGTGCTCGGAAGCCAGCACTTCCCTCACTCACCGGTGTCCAGAGAGGTGAACACGGCGCTCGGGCTGGTTCGCCGGTTGCCTCCGCCGCCGGGCATGACCAGCGTCTGCAGCTGCCGGACCAGCTCGGGCATGCGGTCCCAGTGGCCCTCCGCGCGGCAGCGCTCCAGCTCGCTCTCCATCTTCAGGTGGGAGCCGTGCGCGCCCTTCGCAGCCATCTTCGCGCGGGCGCTGTCATGGGAGGTGCGGCCGAGAAGTGGAGACCCGGCCGGGGGCGGCGTCCCGGCTGGGGCGCACACGCGGGCGGGGGCGGCGGGGGCGCGGGAGGCGGCCGGGGCCCGGGCGGCAGCGGGGGCCCTGGCGGCGGCGGGCGGGCGGCGGCGGCGGCGGCGGCAGCAACAGCAGCAGCGGCGCCCAGCGCACCGCCCGGCGCCTCCGGGCTGGGGCTCCGGCTGCGCGGCCCGGACGCGTCCAGGAGCAGCCTCCGCCTCTGCTGCAGCAGCTCCTGGCGCTGCTGCCGCCGCCGCCGCTGCAGCTGCTGCCACAGCCCCCGCCCCGGGCCCGGGCGCCGCCAGCTGCGGACCCGCCCCTGGCCCCTGCTCCACCTCCGCGGGGGCGTGGCGCGGCCTCGGCGAGCCGGGCGCGCGGGCGGCCAGCGCGGCCACAGCAGCCAGGCGCGCGACGAGCGCTCGCGGCCGCTCCGCCGCCCTCGCCAGGCCCCCGTCGCCGCCGCCGCCCCCGCCGACTCGGCGCTCACTTTAATACTTCGCGGGGCCCCGGCGCCCCAGGGCGCCTCGCTCCCCGCCCCCTCCCCATCCCATCGGGGCTCTTGGCCTGGGGACCCCGACGCCCCGGCTTTGTGTGGTGGCTTCGTCACCAGCGCTGCCCCCGGCACGTCACAAATCCGGGGAGAGGCCGGCCGGCCCGTCGCCCCCGCCTGCGAGAGTGAGCCTCCCCGGGGGCCGGCCCTGCTGGGACGCGCGCCCCTGCGCGCCACCCTCCGGGGTGCTCGGGCCGGGGGCGGGGGGCGGCGGCCGGGGGCGGTGCGCAACAGGCCGGTTTGGAGCCCCTGCACTCTCGGGGCGCCGGCACCCGGAAAGACTTTTCATTTTCTTTTTTAACATTGGAGTTCCTCTTTCCAGCCTGACTCACTCGCACGACCTGGCTGGCCTGCCCTCTGCGGACTCCCGTTACCCTGGAATTCTTAAAGGTGTTAAGCTGTTTTCCAACGTGGTATTTCTTTTTTTGATGTTTTTTTTTTTAATTCTTATGTTAATCCCCATACATTACATCATTAGTTTTAGATGAAGTGTTCCATGATTCATTGTTTGTGCATAACACCCAGTGCTCCATGCAGAATGTGCCCTCCTCAATACCCACCACCAGGCTAACCCATCCTCCCACCCCCAACGTGGTATTTCTTAATTCTGGTGTCTGAAGGCTGTGATCAAAACTCATAGCAGGGCTTAGCCTGGCGCTGTGGGGGACTAAGAAGTTCAAGGGATTACAGGGTGGCCTGAAGGAGAAGGGACTGGTTAGGACGGCCCCGCCTCCGGAGCGGCTTGCAGTCCAGTGTGGGGATTGAGGCCAACATGCTAGAAATCACAGCGAGACCAAAAAAAACTCCGCTGTGTGTAAGTGATATATTGCATACTGTAGACGGAAGACTCCAAAAGGAAAGTCAGGGCAAGCTTTTAACTATAGTACAGACTCCTAAGAGGTGTCCACCTTGACTGTGGGAATACGCTCCACCATTTTCAGTGTCAGGAGACTCCACTGCTTGGTGCTTCTGGACAACGGTAACTGTGGTAAGGTTTCTGTCAAGCAGAGCTCAGGCTCCCGGTGCCTAGGCCCCCGGCCGGGGCCCTTTGCTACCTGGGATTATCTGGTGAAGGCCACTCTTCTGCTCCCCACCCCCACAACGCCCCGGTGGGTGGATACCCTCCAATCCAGGTTCCAAATGCAGCTCCGTTCCTTGCTGGGAGACAGCATTTCCTGACCTTCGCTGCTGCACTGAGCACCTCGGGGTCTGTTCTGAACTCCCAGGGGCCAGGAAATAGACAAAGGAAAACAGGGACAACTCTGGCAGTTGGAATTTAGGACTGGTTTACTCCATTTACACAAACACCGGGCCTATTCCTGTCACCTCCTCTAACTGGCATTTGGTTAGCCTTGGGCTGGCCTTGCTGGTCACCAGCACCAGCTTTCAGTTGGAGAGAGCTGTGCATGTCCTTTGGATGAGGGTGCCCTGAGAATACACTGTGACCTGCCCTAGGTCTGACATGCCCCAGAGTCAGCCCTGGGGTGGGCAGGGGACAGCAGAGTTGAGGAGGGGAAGGCACCCCTGATAGAAATAAGGAAACCTCCCCTCCTCCCCTTTTTCTCCCTAATCCTTTGCCAACCCTGCCCCCAGGTTGCAGGATTCCAGGGAACTAACTGAATTGCCGCTTGTTCCTTTGAGTCTTGCTCCAAGATTTGTGTGAGTATGGGGCATGGGAGAGAGGAACACAATATCGTGGTTAGAACTTAAAATGAGCTGCTCCCCAACACTGCAGCCACACTCCTGATCCCTTTGTGGTTCTATTCCGGCAGAGATAAGCCCCCAGCCTGCTAGTGACCAGCATTTTTCAGGGGAGTAAGAGACTGTAGGAATGAGAGCAAAGAGCAGCCATGATTGTATTAGGGATATTTACCAAAATATAAGGCATGTAGAAAGTGTGGTGGTTGTTTTTATTTTTTATTTATTTTTATTTTTATTTTTTTAAGATTTTATTTATTTATTTGAGAGAGAGAATGAGATAGAGAGAGCATGAGAGGGGGGAGGGTCAGAGGGAGAAGCAGACTCCCTGTTGAGCAGGGAGCCCTATGCGGGACTCGATCCCAGGACTCCAGGATCATGACCTGAGCCGAAGGCAGTTGCTTAACCAACTGAGCCACCCAGGCGCCTGGTTGTTTTTATTTTTTAATAATCTGAAATCTCTCAGGTGAGAGTTTAGGACAAATTCTGATAAAGATTGTCATCCTTGCCGGCTGGGAAAATGCTACCAAAATAACTTCCTGATCAAAAGAAGCTGGGTTGATTACTTAACAGAGTGAGGGAGGGCACTGCCTGGCAGCTTAGCACCTCAGAGAGAGTATTGGAGTTCACAGGAGGTAAATCGACCTGCTAAGAAAGGTGTAATTTTAGGAAGCAACAAAGATGGTACCGAATGAGGGACCAGCCAAGCTGACAGAAGACTCCACTAGTTGAGCCACTGCCCCTCGACAAGGTGGGGAGGCTCTTGTCACTGGATCACAAGAGAACCTGTAGTAAGCTATGGGTCTCGATTCTCATGCAGTTAAGGGCTTGGAGAAATTTCTCATGTACTTATAGGTTGAAGGTCTATGATATTTGGTTAGGCCCAGAATGGGAGGGTACTGAAGAGCTAATCTGAATTCAGAAAATGTCTGTTCATGTTTGGGTTTCCAGGGAAAAGGTTTGGTTAGCAAGGACTTGGGTTGGTCAAATGAATGGCGTGCACATTTCAGAGAAGTTGGGACTATTCTGTCTGCAGTGGCCAGTGAGACCCAAGGATCCTCATAATGTCTTAGTTATTGACCAGAAACCCTTTGCACAGCTCGTTGTCTGAGTAAGGGATTTTCCTCCTTGGGATGTCTTGTCTTGGGAAGGATACTTCCTTGACAAATTGTCAGCTTTTCTATGGAAACCTTAATGCTGTCTCTGAGCTAAAAGAGCAAGCAGTAGATGAATCAGCATCGGAGCTCACCTCAACTTTGAACACAACAAAAGATTACCCACCTATTGAATAAGAATAGAATTACAGGGCAATGTAAAGCTCTTGAGGTTCTGGTTGAGGATCTGTGAAATGTAGGAGGGCAATTCAGTAAACTGAGGCATAGTGGTCATCCAGGTACTATTGCTGATTTTCCCTGGAGAGGACAAGTATTAATTTTTGATTTAAAGAGACCAAAGAGGGGCACCTGGCTGGCTCAGTTGGTGGAGTGTGCGACTCTTGATTTTGGGGTTGTGAATTCAAGCCCCATGTTGAGTGTAGAGATTACTTAAAAATAAAATCTTAAAAAAATAGACATCAAAGAAAACACAACATAGATCTACAACTGTAAAACACATGATCTCTGTAGGCCTTGAAGATAGAATAGTACTTGAGTTTAATCCTAATGGGAAGCAGGCAGTGTCTAATTTGTAGCCCTGGGGTCCTAAACAAATCTGTATTCCTGCCCACTGGGTTTTTCAACTGAGAGGATAGGAGTATCACAAAGACTGGGACAAGGTATGAGACTCCTTTCTCTTTAAGGCTTTTGATTATTAGTTTTATTCCTCCTTTTATTGCCTTGTTTTAGAGGCTATTAGGCAGGTTTGGGTAGAGATTGAACCTTGATGGGTTTAGCTCCAGTAGAGTATCAGAATTTTTGCTGATAAAAGATTTTCAATCTGCTTGATTTACACACAGAAGTACTCATAAATCATTATCCGAATGAGCCAGGATCTTATTATGAATAAGGAAGTCCTCTGGGACCAAACCAGAAGGAAGGGACCATCAGGGAAAGCATTTAATATGGCAGTTCCATTCACACAGTAAATCCCTTGCTATTAAGTTAATGAGTGTGGTGTTCCTTGGTTAAAGGTTTGAGGCTGGGGCCTGGGGAAGGCATGGTGAGGATAAATGTGTGACTGGAGTAGTCTGAAGACTCCAAGGAAAAGGTTGTGCAGTAGTGGGCTCAGGTTTAAGATTGATATTATCCCGCCCATATCAGTAAAACATTTGTAGGTTGTCCTTTAATTTTTAGAGAAATGTTTCCTTGTGGGTTTAAGAGTAGAATGAGAAACTGAACACCTTCATTAATATCTTCATCGTTCATTTCTTAGTTCTAGAACTCTTTTCAAAATATTCAGCAGGGTTTGGGAGGTCTGGCCTTGGGGCTCTTTCCCATTCTACTTTTTTTTTTAGATTTTATTTATTTGACAGAGACAGAGACAGCGAGAGCAGGAACACAAGCAGGGGGAGTGGGAGAGGGAGAAGCAGGCTTCCCGCTGAGCAGAGAGCCCGATGTGGGGATCCCAGGACTCTGGGATCATGACCTGAGCCGAAGGCAGACGCTTAAAGACTGAGCCACCCAGGCGCCCTTTCCCATTCTACTTTTGCTTGCACATTATTGCTCCTCTATTTCTGGTTCAAGGCCATTCACAAAAAGTAAGAGAGCGAGCCGGGTCACATCTGCTTCAGGATCAACTCCTGCATGCTGTTGATAGGTATTAACCTACTCCTGAGGTCTCCATCACACTTCTCCTTTTTTGGCTTGAAAAACTGAACCAGAGCACAATCTATTTTCATAGGAAAGACAGAGGATAGCCTCCAAAAGACCCTGACCAACTCTATAGCTTTTCTAAACCCGTTCGGTTCCCTGTGCAATTGAAGGCCTTTTTAGTCACCATCGGGGGTCTTCCCATTCTGACTTTTTCATTGAACTCCTTGCATCTGCCGTTCCTACTCACATAGGAATGAATTGAAATATATGTGGCTGCTCTGGGCTATAAGTTCCTCAAATGATTCTAAATTTCTCTATAATGTTTTCTCTCTGTTGTCTAGGCCCTGCAGAGTCTCTGATGATGGCTTTCAGCTGAGAATGAAATCAGAGCTTAAAATCTACCATAAGAGGTTTTCTCTGTTCCGTAGGAGGTTTACTTTAAAGAGGTAAGTGAGCTTTGGGGTACCTGGCTGACCAGGACGGAGGGGGAGTGGGTCAGAGGAAGAGAGGGATAGCAGGACATGGAGGAGCATAGCATGGGGGAAGAGGATAGTAGGCTTGAATTGTGGTTTGGGGGAAATCTAAAAGATTTAACTTGTTCACATTTTTCTTTTGCTTTGGCCAAGCAATCCATCAAGGGAGTAATTTTGCAATCCAGTTTCTTTTGGATGCTTCCTCGTGCTAATAAAAAATAATGAAGACCATTGGATGCTTGGAATTATGTTGCCTTTACGTTCTAAGGCACCTCTCAAGTAAATAATTTTGTTCATATCAAAACTCCCTCGTGGTGGCCACTGTAATTCTAAATTATCCTTGGTGAAATGATGCTATTTGGAAAGATAAGTGCACAAATTTGGCTATAGCATAAATACATGTAAGAAGCAAAAGTCTGGCCCGAGGAAGGCATGGACTGAGGTTAATACTGAGACAGAGCCATGAGAGCCTGGAAATGGTCAGTCAAGAGTCATTTGTGCATCCTGTGGCTCAGAGCTCCCAATGTCACAGCTAGACCTTCTCCATCTGCAACTCCGATGAATTTATACTTCCCAGCAGATAGGATATGTGGAGAGATCTTTGCTGAACCTCAAAACAAGTCTGAGGAAAGTTCTCATAAGTGGCCCAAGAAAAAATTTGTCCCTGGGCCAGGTTAGGGACATACTTATTGGGACCCATATCTGTCCTTGCCACTGTCAACTTGGCTCTTACAGATGCACAACCAAAAATGAACAGGATGGAAATAGACAAGGAGTAGTGTCATTCGCAATAAGGCAGATATCGACCGAGGAGAAAAGATTTTCCAATATGATCAGATAATCAAAGGATTCCTAAAAGGGGTTCCTTATTCCTGGAGACAAATAGACCCTGTATTTGGGGAGCTCAGGCCCAAGGCAAGATTTACATCTCTCACTGCCGTGGTCTAAAAGACTCCTGAGGGGCTCGAGGGCCTCAGAGGAGCATCCTTTCTGAGTCAGGGTCTTGACCACAGTGGCGAGGAGGTCTTGGCAGGCCTCATAATCGAATGCTGCTTCCCCAAAACAGTGTCAAAACAACTTTGTGAGAGTGCAAAGCTGAGTTTGTTCTGATCGCAGGAAAGGAAAACACAGCTCTGCCTAGTCATAGTAACGTCTGTATTGGGGGGCCACATCGGGATATTTATGAAGGGTTGGGTCTATTTTAAGGCAGCTTTTCCAGTGCTTGATTGGGACTGGGCACGAATCATGATACAATAGGTGGGTATCGGTGGACGGCACAAGGTGAGGGTTTTGAGGCAAGGGTTTCAAAGAGTCTTAGAGAATAAAAAGTGGTTAGATGCAGTCTATTGAAAAGTTGCAAAGTTCGTTGAAAAGGTTACTTCTTGGGGCGCCTGGGTGGTTCCATCTGTTGAGCATCTGCCTTTGACTCAGGGCATGATCCTAGGATCCTCCTGCTCAGCATGGAGCCTGCTTCTCCCTCTCCCTCCGTTCCTCCCCCCTCTCCTGCTCTCTCTCTCTCAAATAAATAAATAAAATCTTGAAAAGAAAAGGTTACTTCTTGAGGGGCGCCTGACTGACTCAGTTGGTAAAATGTGCAACTCTTGATCTTAGGGTCATGTGGGTTCAAGCCCCACATTGGGTGTAGAGATTACTGAGAAAAATAAAAAAGGTTACTTCTTGAAATTTCTGCAAAAAACAATAGTTGTTTACAACTTTTCTCATCCCAGGCAAGAGTTTCCTACCCTCGAAAACTCATGTCAATGTCAACAGTAAGCTGAGTGCAGGTGGTTTTGATTCTTCCTGTGTACTGATGCAAAGAAGTATTATGTTTGTTTTTTTTGTTTGTTTGTTTTTTTAAATATTTTATTTATTGAGCGAGATAGTGATAGAGAGAGAGCATGAGAGGGGGAGAGTCAGAGGGAGAAGCAGACTCCCCACTGAGCAGGGAGCCCGATGTGGGACTCGATCCCGGGCCTCCAGGATCATGACCTGAGCCGAAGGCAGTTGCTTAAACAACTGAGCCACGCAGGTACCCCTTATGTTTGTTTATTACCACATCCCCTTACCCCAGCAAATCACTCTGGTTTATACTCATTGTGACAGTGCTGGGAGTAATTAGACCCTCCAGAGGTGGAGACATCCCCTCCCCACCTCTACTCACCTCTTCTCTCATACTCTTGTATTTGCCATTCGGGGCCCCCCAGAGCCTTGTGTTCCCAACAGGAACCCTGAAAACCCTAAATTTCTTCATAGCTAACAGTCCTTTCATGCACTCAGATCATCAGTGTGTGTGATACAGAGCCTGCCCTGTCTTCTGTAGTCACGTGGCCCACCGTCCTTACATTTGGACATAAGCTTTCACTTACGATGGAGGTTGTTGGCTCATAGCATTTCTGGCCCATGCTGTCTCATGTCTTAATGATTAGTACTGTAGACTGGCCAGCCGAACCAGCCCTCCTAGAATGTTGCCATGAAAACTCTGCTGGCTGTACGATCGGTCTTTCCCTTTGACAACTGCCAGAAAAACTGCAGGTAATCATTAGGTGAGGGATAAGGCCCTTACAAAGGCGAGCTTCAGAACCATGACTCCTTTATGCTTTTGCACTCAGTAATTATTTATCATGTTCATTTTAGAATCCTAGAATATTAAAAAGTTTTCTCAGGCCTGGGAGATGAGAGCTCCAGGATGTCTTCTATCCCCACTCCTCCTCCATTTCATGATTGAGATACTAGCACCTTCTCCATGCACTCACTTCCCTCCCATCACCTGGGTCCCTTCTGTTCCCTGGGGTCCCAGAGGACTCCTGCTTCTCCTCGGTGCCTTCTGTGCCATCTTGCAGGACTGCCACAATGGGGACCCGCTCCATTGGGCCCACACTTTCTCCTAGCCTTTGCCAGTGCTGGTTCTCTGCCCAGATTCTGCTATCCTGGAGGTGAGAAGTCAGTCAGCCAACCCAGGAGCGCTCAGAGCCTTTCAGCTCATGTTAGCTGGTCTGATTTTAAGCTCCACCACTCCTAAGGCCAACCTGAGTGTCTGCCCTTCAGTGATTATAGCAGTTTTAGGCCTTAAAATGTAGCTTTGCTCTATCTGCTTTTCAAATCCTTCTTTTCTTTTTCAGGTGTTTTTTTTTTTTTTTTTTTTTTTTTAAGTAATCTCTCTGCCCAACCTGGGGCTCAAACTCACAACCCTGAGATCACATGCTCCACCGACTGAGCCAGCCAGGTGCCCCCTTTCTTTCTTTTCTACCTTTATAAAAACATTTTTGTTGTGAAAAATAACACAATTAAAGGAAAGTGCATAAAACATAATTATTATGAAGCACTTTCATTAACTACCACCTAGAAAAAAGTAGGGTTTTACCAGCATCCCAGAAGCCCCCAGTATATCCCTTCCCAAATACAACCCTGTTCTTTCTAAATGTAACTACTGGCTTTTTATGGTAATTACTTCAATGCTTTTTTTGGTAATTACTTTTGTTCTTTTATAGTTAATTACTTTTCATTGCTTACTCCCAGCTTCCCTCTTCCCTTTGTCTCTTTCTTTCTGTCTTTCTTTCTTTCTTTCTTTCTTTCTTTCTCTCTCTCTCTCTCTTTCTTTCTTATTGAAGTATAACGACATACAATGTTATACAAGTTTTGGGGTACAACGTGTTGATTTTTCTCCAACCTCTGATAAAGGATATCCGATTTAGAAAAATCCTTTTAATCATAGTTTGCTAAAAGTTTGTTTTTCTTTTAATGATGATTGGAATTGAATTTTATGAAATTTTTTCTATTTATTGAGCAGTCATATTATTTTCTTCCTTCAAATTTACTTATATGGTGAACTATTTTGATTTTCCAATGTTGAAGCATCCTTGTATTTCTAGAATAAGATCAACTTAGTTGTATCTGTTTCCTGTTGCTTCTGCAACAAATTCCCAAATACACAGTGTCTTAAAATACCACACCTTTATTATCTTACAATTTTTGAGGTCAGAAATCCAGAGTGGGTCCTGTGGGCTAAATCAAAGTGTTGGCAGAGCTGCAGTTCTCCTGGAGGCTCTAGCGGAGAATACGTTTCCTTGCCTTTTCCTGTTTCTAGAGGCTAGCTGCATTCCTTGGCTGGTGGTCCCTTCTTCCATCTTCAAAGTCCATCACTCCAATCTCTGCCTCCATCGGTACATCTCTCTGACTCTGACCCTCCTGTTTCCCTCTTAAGAGGACTCTTGTGATTACATTGGGCTTTGCAAAGTCCCTTTTGACATGTAAGATGACATTGTCACAGGGTTTTGAGGATTAGGAAATAAACATCTTTAGGAGCTATTATACTGTCTACCACATTGGTTATAATGTATTTTCCTTTTTATATGTTTCTTGATACAGTATTTTATTTAGAACTTTTGTATCTATGTTCATGAGTGAGATTTGGCTAAATTTTCTCTTCTGAAACTATCCTCATTGGCTTTTGGTATCATAGTTAAGCTAGCCGTATAAATGAATTGGAGTGTATACCATTTTTTTTTTTCTATTCTCCAAAGCGTTTGTATACAGTAAGCATTATTTTTCCCTTAGCTATTCGAAGTTTTTAAACTTTGATTCAATTTATTTAAAAATTATAGGACTTAAAATTTCTATTTCTTCCTAGATCAATTTTCAATAAGTTGTATTTTTCTAGGACTATATTCATTTCATCTAACTTCTCGCATTTTCAACATAGATTATTCATAAAATTCTCTTAGTATCTTTTTAGTGTTTATAGAATGTATAGTGATACCTGCTTTTTTCATTGCTGGCATTGGTTATTTGTGCATTCTCTCCTTTAAATTTTTTTCTCTCTTTTTCATTGCCTTGATAATTTCTAAGGATTTATCAGTTTTATTGGTCTTTTCAAAGACCCAGCTTTTGGTTTTGGTGATCTTCTCTATGGCATGTTCTTTTCCGTTTCTTTAAGGCTGTTATCCTTATTATTTCATTTTTTTTACCGTATTTGGGTTTCTTTTGTACTTCTTTTTTTGTTAAGATTTATTTATTAGAGAGAGAGAGTGCATGTGGCAGGGGAGGGGCAGAGGGAGAGGCGAAAGAGAGAATGCTAAGCAGACTCCACGCAGAGTGCAGAGCCCGATGTAGGGCTTGATCTCATGACCCTGAGATCACGACCTGAGCCAAAACCAAGAGTCAGATGCTTAACCGATTGCGCCACGCAGTTGCCTCTTCTTTTGGACTTCTATAAGGGTTAGGATAGGTTAGGTTAAGTTGAGACAACAAACGATCCTGAAAAAAACATCTCAAGGATTTCTACAACATAGTTTATTTCTCAATCATTCTACCTGTTCCGTCCAGGTTGGCTGGCTTCTTCTCCACATTGTCTTTACCCTGGGGCTTGAGCAGCAGAACAGCTGCTGTCTAGAACACTGACAGTCATCACAGCCGAGGGAAACTGAGACAGTATGGTGAACTCGATGTTGAATCTTAAACCTTTTGTCTAGATGTGACACATCACACTCCTGTATGCATTCCATTGACTAGAGCAAGAAATAGGGCTAAGCCTGATGTTGATGCCCAGAGTTGGGTTAGTGAATCTTTGTGAATAATAATATAGTATCCCATGTCTTCTTTTTCTAACTTTTTGAGAATGAATCTTAGCTCATGAATTTTCCATCTTTCTTACTTTGTAATATATATGCATTTAAGGCTATATACTTCCCTTTGTCACCTATATCCCGCGGGAATTGATACATTAAAAACTTTGTTAACATTCGGTTCAAAATATTTTCTAACTTCCTATGTGATACTTTATTCTACTTATGTGTTATTTAGAAGTGTCTCTTGGGTGCCTGGGTGGCTCAGTCATTAAGTGTCTGCCTTCCGCTCAGGTCTCGATCCCAGGGTCCTGGGATGGAGCCTCCCATTGGGCTCCCTGCTCTGTGGGAAGCCTGCTTCTCCCTCTCCCACTCCCCCTGCTTGTGTTCCCTCTCTTGCTGTGTCTCTCTCTGTCAAATAAATAAATAAAATCTTTTTAAAAAAATCTTAAAAAAGAAGTGTTTCTTATTTTCCAAATAAACGTGGAGTTTTCTAAGTTGTTTTTTTCTCATTGTAATTTCATTGTATCAGAGAATATATTTTATATAATTTTAAGTCTTAGACTGCTTTTAGACCTCACTTTTTTTTTTTTTAAGATTTTATTTATTTTTTGACAGAGAGAGACACAGAGAGAGAGGGAACACAAGCAGGAGGAGTGGGAGAGGGAGAAGCAGGCTTCCCGCGGAGCAAGGAGCCCGATGTGGGACTCGATCCCAGGACCCTGGGATCATGACCTGAGCCGAAGGCAGACGCTTAACGACTGAGCCACCCAGGCACCCTAGACCTCACTTTCAACCACATGATCTTGGGAAGAAGACCTCAAGCCTCACATGAGACCCCACCCCTACCCAAAACCTTGATTTCAGCTTTGTGAGTCTCTGAGCTGTGAGCCTAATTGGTCCTTACCTGGACTTCACATCTATACAACTGTGAGAAAATAAATGGGTATTGTTTTAAGGTCCTGAGTTTGTAGTAATTTATTACATAGGAATAGAAAACTAATACAGTGTTTCTTGCTAGTGAATAAATCACTCTTTTTTTTTGTCCAAAGATGTCTTCTCATGTTGACACGTGAAGGAGATTTTTAGCTGGATGTAGAATTTTAGACTAGCAGTTTACTTTTAGCCTTTCAAGATACTACACTGTTTTCTGGTTTCCACTGTTGCTGTTGAGAAGTCAGTTGTCTGTCTAACTGTTGCTCCTTTGAAAACAATCTTTTTCCCCCTCTGCCTGTCTTCAATTTTTTTCTTTTTTTTTTTTTGTTTTCTGCAGATTTATTTTAATGTGTCAAGAATAGATTTCTTATGATTAGTTTTGCTTGGGATTTGTTGTTCTTTGTGATTCTGAACTTAAAGTCTTTCATCAGTTGTGGAAAATTATTTTATGTCTTCAAATATTATCTCAGCTCGTTCTCCTGGGACTCCAACTAAATAAAAGTAAGATCCTCTCACTGTATTCTCTGTATCTCTTACCCTTGCTTTTGGATTTTCTATGTTGTCTCTCTTTATTTTAGATCGTTTCCTCTGCCCTATTATCTTTTCTTTTCCTTTCTTTTCTTTTCTTTTTAAGATTTATGTATTTATTTTAGAGAGAGAGCATGCAAGCAGGGGGAGTAACAGAAGGAGAGGAAGAGATTCCTCAAGCAGACTCCCCACTGAACACGGAGCCCAATGCTGGCTGTATCCCAGGACCCTGAGATCATGACCTGAGCCGAAATCAAGAATCAGACGCTCAACCGACTGAGCCACCCAGGCGCCCCATCCTCTGCCATATTTTCTAATTCATTGACTCTCTCTTCTCATGCATCTAAATTGTTGAACCCATCTCTGGAGTTTTTAACATCTCTTACTGTATTTCTGCATTCTCAAATTCTATTTGATTCTTTAAATAATCTGCCATTTTATCACAGAGAGAAATCTTCCTTGACTTCCCACATCCTCACCACAGGCCTGTTCGCATGCCCCCACCACATGTGCTCCCATGGCAACCTGGGCTCTAACAGGCACTTACTATATTCTCTTACATTCTCTCCCCAACTAGACTGTAAGTATCTTGAGGATGATGGATATCATTTACGCTGTATCTCCAGCATTCAACACTGTACCGGAATAATAGCAGTCACTCAGTGTGGTGAACTTTAACTACAACAACCTCCCTGACCACCTAACACTGCCCCACTCTAAGAAGATGGAAAACCTTCGGGAAAGTCTCCACAACTCACAACTGTTTGTGTGAGGAGATTCTTCTAAAGAGGGAATGCTAAGAGATGCTCATTTCTGCATCCAGGCTGATGAGGGGGGAAAGCGGAAAGCAAAACAGACTCAGAAATAAGAGGCTGGGGAGACCTCAGGTGAGTAGGTCTCTGAGAATGAGCACAAGGTACTGGGCAAACTCAACTTTTCCAGGCTGTGGAATCAGCTGGGTCTAATCCCATTATAGCCAGACCTCCAAGGAATGAGGGGCTCCTAGCCAACATCTGGATGGCACTGCTATAGTGTGTCTAGAAACTCAAGGCAGAGTGGCTCTTAAAAAAGGAATGTTGTACAACCAGTATGCTGATTATGCAGGATTTATGGGTTATGCCCACCAAAGCCACTTTATTTTTGTCTTCCACTGCTTTTAATCCCTTCCAATGGGGGTTAGGTTGGTCTTTTCCAAGGCCGTATATAAAAATCCTACCAAGCTCGTAAATTTTTCTTGGCACCCTTAGGTAAATGTCCAGGGGTCACTTTAAGTCATAAATGCAGGCTTAATTAAGTAATTAAAAGGGTTCAGCCCAGTATACTAATCAATATATAAATCTTCACTCAAAGATAAGATTTCTCTCCTACTCCCCCAAAGCTAGGGCCTGTGGCAGGTGGGCTGTGGGCAGCCTGGGAGGGAGTTGTGTTTAGCTCCTTCTCTTTCTTATTCACTTCTTCCTCCTCTTGCTGCTGTTTCTGGCCTTTTTTTTTTTAAAGATTTCATTTATTTGAGATAGGGAGAGTGAGCGAGCAAGAGAGAGAGGACCAGCAGAGGCAGAGGCAGGGGGAGAGGGAGAAGCAGGCTCCCCGTGGAGCAGGGAGCCTGATGATGTGGGGCTCCATCCCAGGACCCTGGGATCATGACCTGAGCCAAAGGCAGATGCTTAACCAACTGAGCCACCCAGGTACCCCTGTTTCTGGCCTTTAAGGTTGAAGTGGGGAGTGGTGGAGAGGGAAGGGGGCTAGTCCTGGTAAAATGGCTTTGTGGGCCCTATACCTGGGGACCCATAGGCCATAGGTCCCCTGGCAGATATTTAAAGCTGATCTTGGGGGGTTTCCCTGAGGTCCTGGGAGACTCCCCTGCTGGGTTTCTCTGACTCAATTCCTTCTCCTTCAGCAGGGCCCCCTGCCCCCTGCTTCCTACAGCCTCAGCTCTAGCACTTGTCACACAGCCTTTCACTGCTGGGACCCCTTTGTCCTCACTGGCCACTCTTGGTTGGGCTCAACCCAGGGAGACTTACCTCTGCCTCCTCCTCACCTGGTCCCCTGGACTTCTGTCTCATTTGAACTGCACCCAGAGGGTTGAGCAGTTTTCACCCAGGCCCTTTTCTCTCAGCCAAGGCTACTTAGTCTTCCAGAACCAGCCCACACCGGGCCATTGTCTATGCCCTGCGGCAGTGATGGCAGTGACCACACCTCAAGCTGCCTGAGTGGTCTGTCCCCTGAAGCCTCTCACTAGACTGGAGGGGAGGGAGCAGGTGACCCTGCACATTCCCCAGGGAAGTCCTCCTCACAAAATCCTCCTGGAATCTCCCCTCTTCTGACTCTCTTATTCCCTTTCTCTGGGTGAGGGATTCCCTGGGTCGAGGACCAAGACACAGCTAGCCAGATTTTGAAGATTGCCTTTGAAATCTTTGTGGTCTGCTCACACCTTGCTTTGATGCTCAATAACTATCATATCTTGGCATTTCAATCAAAACCCCACTTAACATCCTGTTGGACTGGTTTTTTATCAGAATGAAACATCATTATTGTTTTTTTCTGAATATGAAATTAAGGCATGCTTCTTACAAAATTAAACCAAAACATAAATGTAAAAGACAGTTGTAGCCCAGTGCAATTTTACCTCCCAGAGATAACTCAAAGATTTTGCTTTATATCTTTCCAGACCTTTTTTCTTTGACACACTTTGACACACTTGCACTTTTATTTATTTTTTTAAAAAGATTTTATTTATTTACTTGAGCGAGAGAGCGCAAGTGGGGAGAGGGGGCAGAGAGAAGCAGATTCCCCACTGGGCAGGGAGCCCGATGCAGGGCTTGATCCCAGGACCCTGGGATCATGACCTGAGCTGAAGGCAGATGCTTAACTGACTGAGCCACCCACGTGCCCCTTGCACTTTTATTGTAATAGTGGAAATGGGATTGTACCATATATAAATTCCAGAGAGCCTTTTCCCTACTGCCATAGGATATGTAAGCCCTCCCATCTCCTATGTACCTAAACCTATGTTAAAGTGGAAGAATTGATGAGAGCCTGGGCAGTTACCTTGACAGACTGAGTATCTAAATGGTCAGTTTATATATTGAATTAAACTGGGTTTTAGTCGTGTGGACTAAATTTAGTTTCCTCTCACTTCATATCAAGATGGGTGCTTTGGAGGAAGTAAGATGAATCATAGAAAATTAAAGGGCTAAATTTATTTCACATGAGGAGTACATATTCAATTCCACATTACAAATGAAATTGATAGGTTGGAGAGTGTAGCCCTTTTCAAGGCTTTTGATCTGCATTTCCACGGTGCATCAGAGGACATTTTTCCCTATATGTACTTTCATAACACTGGATATTTACATTTTTCCAAGCCTCATAGGCCAGATATAATAATTCAGCCTTTCCTTGTTTTTTAATAAGGTTGAGCAGATTTTGCATTAGGATAGGACACTTACTTATTGCCAGGGCTCCCTTTGCCCGAGTGTCCATTTTGATATCCCAATAAAATCTTAGTAAGTTTTCCCCAGGCTCAGGTTTTAAAGAATCCAGGCTAAAACAAATGGGCTCCAGAGTGGACTGAAAGAGGCCTATCCCTAGATGGCCGTAGGGGAGTAAAGGCGGAAGGAGATACTTCCCAAGGGACCCCTGGAGGCCACCATCGGTGCTGCTTTAGGCCTGATCTGTCACCTTCCCCATGTTCACAGAATCTAGATCACTCCCTCATACCCCCAAAGCCTCATTGCATGCCCTGTCCCTGTAGACACTAGTGACCACAGACCAAAGCTCTTGCCCCAAGGGAGGCCGGGCTACCCATGGACCAATTAATGAGCTGTTACAGATGGCTTGGCACTAAAAGATGGGCTCAACTAGAGCCTTCTTTCTGGGGATTTCAACTAAGAAACCTGGAAAGAATGTGCTTGTAAGCAGTGAGAATAAGTTGTAAAGATAACAAGATAATGAGTTGAGCCCGGGGCAAGCCCAAGCCAGGCTGAGTCAGCAGGGAGAGAAAGATGTGCAGAGTCAAGGAGCTGTTCCCCTGGACGCAGGGACCTCTCCCTGGCTGGCGGCGCTGCTGGCCTCCTGCACCTAGGGATGCAGCCCCCGTGCCTGGCTCTGAGAGCCTCGGCCCTCCAGCCCTCTGCTGCCTGCCCCCTGGGAGCCTGCAGCACCTTCAGCTCTGCCCCACACCCCCATTTACCTTGTACACGGCACCAGCAATCACACAGATGTTGTGTATGCCCACCACAGTTTGTAGCTACAGATAGAAGATGTTCCTGATAGACTCTGGGTTGGGCTTTTCAAGCCACTCAGAACATTAGGGGAAACGTTTTGATTATAAAGGATGAAGGCTATGTGAGCTTTTTCAGAAACGTTTTGAGCAGATATGGAGCAAATTTATATGGACCTTGCGAGAAAAAGAAGACAAAGTGTTTTACACTAAATTCTCTCATTGAACTTGGATGCAAGAGGGTTGTTTGCTTTAGGCCTGATCTTGGCAATCCTGGTATTATATTATTATTA